ACAGAGAAAGGTTGTGGGGAAGAGAGAGAAAGAGACAGAGGCAGAGGCAGAGAGAGAGGGTGGGGGAGAGAGAGAAAGAGACAGAGGCAGAGAGAGAGGGTGGGGGAGAGAGAGAAACAGAGACAGAGAAAGGTTGTGGGGGAGAGAGAGAAAGAGACAGAGGCAGAGGCAGAGAGAAAGGGTGGGGGAGAGAGAGAGAGGCAGAGACAGAGAAAGGGTGGGGGAGAGAGAGAGAGACAGAGAGAGAGGGTGGGGGGAGACACAGAGACAGAGAGGAGAGAAAAGAAACAGCTCTAATCCTTCATTACATGTTTTAAAATTCTCCTCCATACCCACACCGAGTTGTGTTGATGCAAAAGTACAGGATTGCATCTTTGGGATGGGGTGGGGAGGGAGGTGGGGAGGGACAGCTTGAAGGATTTGGGCAGATGCAAACATTCTGGCTGGCAGAGACCTGGGCTGCTAAAGGCTTCTTCTTCTTCTGAAGCAACAAAAAATGACACTTAAGGAAATCTTGAGGACATCACATATCTGAAACGGAGTGACGGGGTCAGAGTAGGATACTAGTTGGCAGTTATGGACTTACAGATCTGGATGTACGCGTCATGGAAGGCAGCGTACAAATGAGATTTTCTCATCTCCTCCTTCCAAAACAACCCACAAACATTTTCAACCCCAAAATACCATTTGCAGTTACTATTTGGGACAAAGAGGGAAAAAAATCTAACTTACAGATAACAAAACTTGATAAAAAAAAAAACACAGTTTAAATTTGGCGGGTGACTTAAGAAAGGCCTGACTTGCTCCTTTGTTCAGCCTGATTTTATATAAAACATATAAAGAACGGTTGCAGGAACAGGGTATGTCTAGACTAGTGAAAAGAAAGACTAGGGGAGACATGATAGCAGTGTTCTGATATCTCAGGGGCTGCCCCAAAGAAGAGGGAGTCAAGCTATTCTCCAAGGCACCTGAAGGCAGGACAAGAAGCAATGGGTGGAAACTAATCAAGGAGAGAAGCAACCTGGAACTAAGGAGGAATTTCCTGACAGTTAGAACAATTAATCAGTGGAACAACTTGCCTCCACTGGAAATTTTTAAGAAGAGATGCAACACCCATTTGTCTGAAATGGTTATAGGGCAGGAGTTTGATTAGAAGACCTCCAAGGTCCCTTCAAAACTCTGTTATTCTGTTATATTTATTCTGTATTTTATTTACTTATTCATCAGATTTCTTTGCCGCCCATCTTGTACCCAATGAGTCCAGCCGTTTTATCCTTTAAAATAGTTAAACATTAAACATTATCCTCCCATTTCCCCCACCACCACCCGACCCCAATGTTGATGGATAACATCCAAAGAAACTGAAAGAAGGGAGATGCAAGGTTGTGAAATCGTTGCTACAAGATATTGGGTTAGATGAATTCATGCAAAATAAGGTTTACTCATGGTTACTAGTCACAATGATTGCATCTTTCAACTAGTAACAAGGGCAAAAAGCTCTCTTTATACAAAAGGAGATCCTTCAAACAGAGAAATGAACAATTTTATTTCAGTTCAGGACCAAATCATAAAAGTTAAAACAACGAAATGCAATTTGGGAGCACAATAAAATTTCATGAATTAAACACCTACTTCTCAGGACACTGTTCTAATTTCTTTGCCTCAGTGCTTCTTATTAGCAGTTCTGCAATAGTCCTTAACATCGTATCTAATAGGACTCACCTCCTGTTCATTCATCCAGGCATATCTCAGGCCTATATATTTTAATAAAAGGATGGTATCAGAGACTCTTTAATATCTCCAAATTAATTTGCAATAATGTGCATTAACTTAAAAGGCAATTAAGGGTGATCTTAATTAGGGGCAGCTGGCTTGTTTTTCCAGCTATTGCCCAGGAATTGTGTTTATTGAAGATGTTGTAAAATATGCAAGGTGAAACAGGTGTGTGTGTGGGGGGGGGCAACCATTGAGAAGGGATGCTCAAGATAAGGCAGAATGATGGCTGAAAATCTCCCCAATCAATCGATCTAAAAAAAAAAAAAAGCTTAAAATCATGGCAACTAGACCAAAATTTATTCAACGGAGAATTTCAATACTCATCAACTTCTTCAGTTACTTCAGAATGAATATTTGGTTAGGCAGAGACTAACCTATGGCATAGCAACTGCAGAGGGATTTCTCCCCAAAAGGAAATGCAGTATGTAAATACAATATGCAACGTAATATGTACTCGGAGGAGTAACGAAACGTCTCCGTTTAATAAACGTTGGTCCGGTTGCCACGATTTAACCTTTTTTAGATACCTCTGGCCTGGATGGTTGAGTTTTCATTGACATACTCTGAAGATCAATCCATTTTATGTTCAGGGTTTAAGTGTGAAGATAAAGATTGATGTTTTACCCACATATTTAGGTGGTCCCTTTAAACAGGGGCATCCCAAGCCAGCCACAGGACTTCTCAAGAGCCCCATTAACAAGCTGTCAAGTATGGAAAGGGCTGAAGTGAAGGGACATAAAGCTATGTTTTGGGCCTGTCAACTAAGCAATTCCCATATCCCCGGTGCCATCCGTTCCTCATTAACACCCAAGCAAGCATTTGATGTCTAACCGCAGCTTTTAAAGCAGCTTGTAAAAAAGGAAAAGGTTTATCTCTTAACAGCAATTAAATGACATGCGGAGGAGGAGGAGGAGGAGGAGGAGGAGGAGAAAGTTCCCTTGAATAGACAGGTAAATGCTCTTTCAGAAAGAACTAACTCCTTCTGTCTTCGGGGACAGGCCCGTGCAAGGAAATCATTTCCAGAGAAAGGACCTGTATTTGATCATGGCAGAAATAATGACTTCAAAGAAGAAAAAGATTATGGCTTAAGCCTGTGCAGTGCATGAGCACAGGGGAGAAAGAGTAAGGCGTGTTGACAGAAAAGAAGGCTAATATTTCATCCCCTGATGGATGCTAGTCCATAAAAGCTTATTGGGTAATAAATTTCCTCTTCTTTAAGTTGCCATTTGTTCCTCTGGTTGGAAAGGAATTTTGAAACCTATTTATCAGGACATAAAGCTCCATGGATTTGATTACCAGTCATCTGATTTATCCAAACTCCCACTTTCCCCCCCTTCAACCTGTTCCTGTGGGCATCTCCAAGGAGACCTCTTAGTATCGAAGTAGAAGTTATCTGTGGTTATAAAAAAAGGAAGCACAGAAAACCCTTCAACTATCTCTGTCCAACATGCATGACTGAAACGGTGTTAATGCATTATTAATTCATGTTCAAACAACTACTCGGGGTCAAGTAATGGAAAAAAAATAATACTCATTCAGGCACTGAGTTATGATTTGCTGTTTCTCCCTTTAAGAAACAAAACTGTCCACAACATAATTGCAGTTTCAACCCCGAATCACGTGGGATATAGTGACTGAATAATATGAATGATCATCTCAAAGGTGCTTTTTGCAAAAGGCAACTGGACTTTGATTTTTCCTTGAAGCCGTTTCGCTTCTCATCCAAGAAGCTTCGTCAGCTCAGTTCAGAACCAAAGAAGCTTCTTGGATGAGAAGTGAAATGTCTTCAAGGAAAAACAAAGAAAGTCCAATTGCCTTTTGAAAAAGTACCCTTGGGACAACCGTGACCTGAGTGACTGAGAATCTCCATCGACAAATATGAACGATAACAATCCCGTTTCATAATTGGTAGAAATATTTCAAGCTCAGTACACCCTGAGATTTAATAGTGCCAATAAAGGAGAATATGGAGTGGTGCGGTGGCCAAGAGGCTGTGAGTTTGATCCTAGGTAGAGGCAGATATTCCTCTCTCTGGACACACTGAGAATATATCTGCTGAAAAAGAACTCCGCATTGGTGACAGGAAAGGCATCCGTCCAGTAAACACTCCGCTCCATTCAGTTGCTCACTCTACACCCTGCAAGGGATTATGGGGCTGTTAAAAGAGGACGAATAAAGGAGAATATGGGTAGCTGAGGATTGAAATGAGGAGTGTTTGGTGATCTCTGAGCTTGGTTGTTTTCTTGCAGACGTTTCATTACCTAACTAGGTAACATCACCAGTGCTAGTCCTGATTATCTTACCTAGTTTCGGTAATGACCAAGGACTCTTCAGATTTAACAGTGGCACATCGGTACACTATGGCTTTTAATCATGAATGAAAACCTAGTTCCAACCAAGCAAAAATACTCTTGGCTTTCTTGCAGACAAGGCACGCTATTTTTAGCAATACAGCAGCCAAGTAAAACGAAAAGATTTGATTTAATGAGTACGTTCATGTAAAAAAGATTTTAAAGATGGATTTAAATTAGGAGCATGAATGTCTGTCACCCCATTTTACTGCTGCAGGTAAATTCACAGTTCTTTATATCCGGTTTAAGTGGAAAAGGTTGGTATTTTTCATCTAGAACAAATAATGAAAGTGGTGTTTGGGGGTTGGATTATTTATGGAGAGAGGCGAGCATAAATTGATTGTATGGTATTATGGCTTAAAGAATTTCAAGGGAAAAATTCGCAAGAGGCACCTGGAACCAAATTTAAATTTAGCTTGGGAAGGTAAATTAACTATCAAGCAGAAAATATAGCATCGTAAAGCTTTTTAAAAATGAACTTCATTTTAAAGGTTTGTTTAGAATCTTATAAAGGCCACTTGTAAAGCTGTAACTGAGGAGCTCACGCCATACCTATCACCTCTCACATCTATGCTGAAATGGTAGCGCAGGTGTAGCTGTCAGATATACCTACTAAGCCTGAACTTGTGAGAAGCTAAAGGAGTAAAATTGCAATCTAAAAACCACACAACTGACTGGCGTCAAAGGGGAAGCACCCCAAACTGCAGAATTGTGATTAAATTAAATGAATTGTGAACTATGGCTTCTGTGTGAAGTGGAAAATTCCATTTCTAATTACAACTAACATGGCAACTACTGTAGACTAAAAGATGAATGCAGATATAAAAAGGGAACTGTCATGTCCCTGTCAGAATCTGAATCCGAGAAGGAAGACGAATAGCTGATAGGGAGTTGGCTGTGGAGGAAATTGGGGAAAGGCAAAGTCCGGCTGGGCTGGGCAGAGCAGGAAAGAGGTAGAACAAGGGAGAGGGAGTTCAGAGGAAGACCCAGGCCCATCCCCTCTTCATCCTAGGGCATGCAGGGAGGAACAGAGAAGAGAGCAACATGGATTGCATGGCTTACGGGAGAGGAAAGGGCCCTGATTCCCTTCATTAGGCACACCTGGGAAGAGAGTTTAAAAGAGACGCATGCTGAGTGCAGCAGCTGCTGGGAGCAAACATGAGTTTATCTTGTATTGACTTTGTTTATCTGTGTTCTTGGCGTCTTCCGAACCGTGTTGAGTTATTGCTGTGCCTTCACGTCTGGAATTCTTGCTCCTGCCCTAATTACCTCATTTTTCCTTGATTGGATTTATAGTTACAGTTTTTGTTGACCATGTTTTGGACTTGATTCTCTGCAGCCAAAGGCTGTTCCTGGGAGAGTTTTTTCTCCAGCCAGAAGGTAACCAGGACATTGGGGGCAAAGTTGGAGCTAATAAAGGGACTCCTACTGATTATCTGACAGTGTTGCCTTTGTGCCACTCTCTGGGTCATCACAGGAACACATGATCCTCAGCAGCCTTCTAGCTCTCAGTAGTTAGGGGTGAGAAAACAGGTTCAGAGCCCTTGTTCCATCCTTCCAAGGTGGGTAAAATGAGGACCCAAAATTGTTGAGGCAATATGCTGACTCTGTTAACTGCTTAGAGAGGGCATTGTAAAGCGGTATATAAGTCTAAGTGTTATTGCTATTGCTTCCAAACTGCTAGGTGGGCGGGAGCTGGGGCAAGGATGGGAACTCGCCCCCTCGTGCAGGCCTCAGGTCCTCAACCTGAGCTGTCCACTTTCTAGCTCAGCTTCTTAAGCTTTAAGCCATCCCAGCTCTGAACCATGACTCCGGAACATTTCAATTTTCAATTTTCTCAGACTATTTCTATTCATATTTAACACTTAGTGGTAAAACTTGGAAAGGCTCTAGAAGTTCTCTCCAAGCGTTTTCAGGAGACACGCGTCAGCCTGGCATCTCAATTTGTGCACATGGGATAAAAGGATTCACAGACATCACTAAAACAGGTTAAGAGAGTGATTTACTAACCCCACACGTATCTTTAGCATGCCGTTAAATAACTCGGGGGAGTTGGAGATGATCCAGCCGATATGAATGACAAGTTCTTGTTGAAGAACAGCTTCCCTCTCGTCCTGCAAATTGCACTTGTTGTAGATGATGTCTTTAATTGCGCCCGGAGACAAGGGATTAGATATAATTTCTTCCTCTTGGCCAAATGCCCCAAGTGTCACCTAAAGGAATATATTAGCAGTAATTAGAGGCATAACCTGAACCAGGGACGCAGGGAGGGAGTCCTTATTCATTACATCTCCTTGACTTAAATCTCCTGCTTTCCAACGACGTTGGATAAAAGGGTCGTACATAGAATGGGGAGTTAAAATCATCGCTGATGGGGGAAATGGTGATTTGCACATCTCTATTATTTTCTATTAAAGCAGCATCTTTTTTAAAAAAAATGAACTTGTTCCCTAAGGGCACAGTAATGACATGAGATTGCATATGTTCCGAAAAAGGTTGATCTCTCCTCTTTATGTCACATGATTAAAACTTGCCAGGCATAATAATATATAAATTATCCTGGCCACCAGTAGTTCTCACAGACCTCATAGCTCACAGAGTTGCCAGATTTGAAAGGGGGTTTCTAGACTGCTAAACTACCAAGGACTAACTCAACCCTCTACTTCAACTAGTTCTCAGTTCCTTTCCAATCTAAGAAGGAAGGAGCGGGGGATGAAAAATAGAAACCGTTGACTTTGTTGTTAGTTGCAAAGTCGTGTCCAACCCATCACGACCCTCATGGACAACATTCCTCCAGGCCTTCCTGTCCTCTACCATCCTCCAGAGTCCATTGAAGCTCACGCCTACTGTAGGATATCAATTTAGATCATGCCAGGGGAATGCAGGAATACATCCAAGTGCTTCTACGTTCGAGTACTTACTGACTACGCCCCGCCCTTCATATTATTTTCTGTTCTAAATTTTAATGCAACAACAGTCCCAACTACGAGCAAGGAATCACATTTTCTAGTCCCCACTATGAGCACGGAATTGCATGTCCTAGTAATGTTCTTCACATGCTTTCGATGTCAATGCAATCATAATGCTGTCTGTCCCACTTGGAAGGATGAAAAGGCTTCAAGAGATCCCAAATCTTCCGAGTGGCCTCCAAGTAGTTGGGGCCATCACCAATCTAGTTTTAGATAGGGTTAGTCGATTATGGCCATTCACCACGATAAGTCTTCGCCTCTCCGAGGGAACTGAACGCAAATAGGGAAATAATTTGTTTCCTGAACAACTGTGATGGGACAGGCAGCATTACATCCTTACGGGCTCTTTGATTCAAACAGAAGACACGCTGGATGGACAGGACACTAACAGCCAAAAGCAAAGGACAACAGAAAGTGCCAAGTCATGCTAGGCCAGAATGGGCTATCAAAAATGACTGCATATTCGTAATGGAAAAGTCCTCTATAAAACTGCAGTAGCTCTACAATGGGGCCAGAACTGGCATTAGATTTTTATTAAAAAAAACATAATAAGCAAATGCAACATGGGTCTCAAAAACCGTTACCCTGCCTAAATTTGGTAAGAAGTGCTTAAGGGGTTACTGTTGTGGTTCGCCGGCAGCCTGTGCAGACGGCAGCGGAATCAGACAGTGGGGAAGAAAGGAGATCAGTCCAGGAGTCTGGAGAGGACTCGGATGAGGGTCCTGCGTCCGGTGCAGAGATGGGGCCAGGACCCTCTGGGAGTGGGGTGCTGCCTCTGGAGCCTCCGGAGTCTGGCAGCAGCGAGGCAGAGGAACAAGGGGAGCCTGTTCCCAATGCGTGTGTGCACAGATCTGCTAGAAGGCGAGAGCAGCTGAAGCAGAAGGGGGTGACTCGGGAGTAAGGCTTGGAGGTGATTGCCCCTCCCCTAAGGTATAAAGGACGTGCAAAGGTAAAGAAACCTTTGCAGGAGGCAAAGTCATTCGTTCTGTTTGGATTAATCCTTGAAGCTCTGTGTGGACTTTGTACATCGTTTGACTTTTTACAGTTCATTTGGCACTTTAGTTGTTGGCAGCAATTCAAAGGAGAGAAAAGTGGGTGCTTATCTCGAGGGACTGTTTGGGACTCATTACAGGCTGGGAATTAACATAATTCCCAGCACTGAAATAAAACGAGATTTGTTTTAACTAAGCGTGTGCTTAATTACGGTCTCAGCTCAGAACAGTTACCAAATTTCAGGGGACAACCTTTGCCCAAAACAACTGACATCCCCCCCCCCCCAGTTTATAGATAAACTTAGTGGAGTCTGTATCTTTTAAAAGGGTTGGGAAACTGTATAACCAGAGTACCAATTCCCTGGGCTGGACTTTCATTTTATTTTACTTATTAAATTTAGCTGATGAATGTAATCTGAAAAATGTAGACTTACCTGCTTGCCCTGAACTAAAACATTAGTAATAGATGGGGCAAGGCTGTCCACTACCTTACATAAAAGGCTTGCTGCGAAGCGCACAACAGACCTGAGGGTAGAAAACAAAGCAATCCAGCTGGAAATTAAATGCTAGTTTAATGGGATTCAAGAATTTGACGGAGAGTTTCTTGCTACACTTGGCCAATGATTAACCATTTCTATCTGTGTCTATGGTATTTTGGACCCAAGATACCTCTTTATAGAATGGTGAGCCACAACTAAATCAATTCAATTATGGAAGCAAGGATGCTAAGGTTTGAATTGGAGTAACGTTCATTAAACTACATAAGTGATAAGAAAATGCTGTTCCTTCTTGATATCAAGGCGAGATTGGCATCGTGTAAGTAGCCGTTATTTTATGAACTTTAGATTTCCCTGGCAATCTGCATTTTAAAAAAAAAATCTCATAGGAGAACCTTTTGAATGGCCAGAATCTGATTTCCCATCGAATTGCACTGTTTCATTTATGAAAGGGAAATCAAAGGCTTTCACTTTCTCAAGAAAACCCCTGAGAAAGCAGGAGCCACGTGGTTTTCTGTTGGACGGAAAAGGAAAAAAATCTCATTGAAGTTATTTAGCACCTGTTGACAAAATTCTAGTCCTGAAAATAAAACGTTGAGTATCCCTCTCTTCCTAAGCAGTCAATAATTTTCAACAGCCTCTTTCAGCCGATCGCCAAAAGATTAAATGATGGACACAGATGGCAATGAGATCATCACATACAAGTTTACTTTCCGATAAACAAGAATTAAAAGATAGGTTCAGAGAGGCAGCTGACACACGATGAACATTTCAAGTGACGAGACAATTATTTGATCAATGCAAATGCCTAAAATATCATGGCCATATTAAATGAGGGTGGATAATCTTTCCTTCTTAGAATGAACAAAATGAGCTTTTGCTAGCAGATTATCTAGATTACCCATTCATTCATCTCTCCATCTGTTCCTGAATTACACAGCTTAGATATCAGGAAGAGAATGCTTGAGTGAAATAAAGAAGAACATAATTTAGAAAATGGCAGGACTATTTTTTTTTCTGTCTTCATGATCTCATTTTCCTTCAACGTTAGATCTTTTTGGAGGTGCAACTGGAGGCAAAATTTGGGAAGAAGGAAAGAACAGAACAGAAGAGCAGAAAAGAAAAGAAAAGAATATTTTATGTGCATATTGTCCCCACCTTTTCTTATATTTGCGAATTTATGAGGAGCATTTATTTTTGTGTATCAAACACACAGACTGTGTTTGATCCTAGGTAGAGGCAGATATTTCTCTCTCTGGGCACACTGAGAATATATCTCCTGGATAAAACTCCGCACTGGTGACAGGAAGGGCATCCAGCCATAAACACACTCTGCTAGCTCCATTCAGTTGCCCAAACTCTACCTCGCAAGGGATTATGGGGTCATTAAATGAAGATAATGATTCATTTTTGTTATGAAAGGAGCTTTACTGTTTAATATGAAAAAAAAAAAGGAATTCAGAAATTATTCTTTGTTTTTCCAGTTTCTTCTTAAAGACACTCCAAAATTTGGAGGATGGCACTGCTCCCCAAATTAAGCTGGTGGTTTGTTTGTCTTTCTGACTACTTTATAGGAAATAATGCACAATTTTTATACGAAAGGTCCAACAAGGATAACTAATCTTAGCAAAAATGGCAATTGAAGGATTCTCTTTCTGCTTCCCCGTGTGTGTTTGTGTGTGTGTTTGTGTGCGAATACACTTACAAGAAAATGAGAGGACATAAAATGCTAAGATTAAAAACAGACCAAAGTTTTTGAAAGTGATTGGTTATTAATACAGATATTACTCTAGAAAACAAAGGACTGGATACTCCACATTGTCTAACACAGGCGTCGGAAGTGGGACAATCACATATCAGAATTAATGAATGAGTGTGCAATAGTCTGCTAAGTTAGCACAAAATCCATCAGCCAAACTGATTTTGAGTTTGATGACAACGGGATGCACACACTCTTCAAAATCAAGTGCAAAGCTTCCCCACCCCCTTTCTCTCTCTCTTTTTGGCAAAACACCATGAACAGATACCAGCAAAATGCAAATCAGCCATACATCTCAAGCAGAACCGTTTCAAACTTGGGCACGCTTTACCTGTTTCCCATGGACTATCAAAGTTGTAATATGGGGAGCTAAAGAGGCAGCAAATTTCTGAATGCATGCCGCGCTGCAACGGAGCACCAACCTGGATTTGATACACAACAGAGGAGTTCGATGGACGATGCTCTCCACGCCTACTCTAAATAAAATCCTCTCAGTAGCTCACGCATTCTGAACACTGGTTTGTTTGTTTTTCTGCAGGGGATGAGAGCTGCTCATTGGGAATCAAACATTGGAAGGACTCTTTGGATTGTCAAAATGAGTTCTACAATATATCTTCAGCTATATAGTCAAGGGGGACGTGGTGGCTCAGTGGCTAAGACGCCGAGCTTGTCGATCAGAAAGGTTGGCCGTTCGGAGGTTCGAATCCCTAGCGCCGCGTAACGGAGTGAGCTCCCGTTATTTGTCCCAGCTTCTGCCAACCTAGCAGTTCGAAAGCATGTAAAAATGCAAGTAGAAAAAGAGGGAGCAATTTGGTGGGAAGGGAACAGCGTTCCGTGTGACTTCGGTGTTTAATCATGCCCGCCACATGACCACGGAGACGTCTTCAGACAGCGCTGGCTCTTCGGCTTTGAAACGGAAATGAGTACCGCTCCCTAGAGCTGGAAACGACTAGCACATATATAGTCATACTTAGCACTCAACTGCTTTCAACACTCGTTGAATTTCGGGATTTGAAGATTTCGAAGCAGAAATCTTATCCCAGTGCTCTTCCTTCTCCCGGCAGTCAACATGCAAGGAAGAACTTGGCTGCCTTGGCTGCCTCTTCTGGATGAAATAGCGGATCGCGTGGTAAGTCATGTGGTTTTCTCGCTACCTGTTGGTTTGAATATTTGGTGTGTCTTCCAGATCAACAAGGGCCTCAATACCACTTGTACAATGATAGAATCCTCTACTATAGGATTCGCTGGTAGTTTATTTTTTTCCGCTTACTGTTTGAGGGATGGGAAGATCCCTCAAGATCCTCTGACTCCTTCAAGTCATTTCACTTCTCATCCAAGAAGCCTCTTCAGTTCTGACTGAATGGTGGAAAATAGAAGGATTTATATTCCTTGCAGTCATTAGCAGCCATGAACATTCTGCAAGGAATATAAATCCTTCCATTCCTTACTATTCAGTCAGAGCTGAAGAATATTCTTGGATGAGAAGCAAACCGTCTTCAAAGAAAAACCAGAAAGTCCAGTTACCTCTTGAAAAAAAAAAAGCACCTTTGGGACAACCATGATCTGGATCACTGAGAATCTCCACAGACATGTACAGCTAAGAGGTCCCTCCTTCCTTTTTTTATAAATTAAGCATAACCGATTTATATAGCCAGTAGTGGCACACTGAGATATATGATTCTGAATTTCAGGGGACGTCTTTTTTTTACAAAATCAGTAGATGTATATCGACTCAAACGGGCAAAAATCAGCATAGAGCTGCTATTGAAAACAAAAAAAAACTAACATGAAATTGGAAAGTATTGGATACAAACCAGAACTTTTTGCTGCCAGCTTTTCGGTAGATTCTTTCGATATGATCAGAGACAGTACCTAATTTGTACATAAAAGGGAAAAGACAAAAAAAAAAAAACCAGAAGGAAACAGTATGATTTCATTGCAGTTGTTGCATTTACGAGATTCTGCGTTATCCGCTTATCTTATTGCAAAGGTTAACAGCAGCATTACCAACCGCTCCTGCTGCGAGAAACTGCAAATGGGCCATGCTTTTCAATACAGGTTTATGCAAATATTTAAGCACGTATAGATATTTTATTTCAACGTTTCAGGTTTCTGGCAGAAATCAACAGTTGTCCCGTTTCTTCTTCAGCAATTGTAACCTGCAACGCTACCCTGACAGAATATAAACCAGCCTGCACTTACATAATTTGATTCCAGCTGAATAACTACCATTCCAGCATTAAAATGTTATACTGAGGTTGTAAATAAATGTTGTTTTGTGGCTGCTTTGTGCTTTATGTGCTAGCTGGGTCCTCCTAAGCTCTTCTTTGTATTGCTTTTTTTAAAAATAAAAAACAAAAAAGCTGGGCCATGTGGGTGGAATTTGGTAGATTAGCTCCAAACAGGAGCAAAGAGCTATGAAGAATTATTGAAATGCTATGAATCACAGTTTTGGCTATAATCCTTCCTTCGAGATTCATTATTTATTATGTAATGCTCAGAACAACAAAAAATAAACAAGTCCATTCTTACACCACTACGATGGGAGGGAACCCAATTGTTCCAAAATTAGAATCAGAATACACAAACCAGGCTTTGAAGTAGGAATAAAACAAAGAAAAATGGGATACACAAACTGACGAAGGTGCACAGTTTGATAAGGACATTTTGGTGGCATAAGGATTTATGCTTTCATTAGGAAAATTGAGGATGATTTTTTTCTTAGAATGCGTTTAAAATAAAAGCCTTTGGACATTTAAAAAGGCCAAGGGACGTATCTTTAAATGGATGGGGCTGTAACAAACCAATTGGGAGTATTACCCTACTCTATTAAATCACTGTTTTATGCACAGGTAGTCCTTGACTTACAACAGTTCATTAAAGTTACAATGGCACTGAAAAATGAGATTTATGACCATTTTTCACACTTATAACCATTGTATCCTCTCCATGGTCGTGATTTACATTCAGAGGCTCGACAACTGGTTCATATTTACGACCGTCACAATGTCCCAGGGTCACATGACAAGCAAAGTCAATGGGGAAGCCAAATCCACTTAACAACGGTGGGACTAATTTAACAACCGCAGTGATTCACTTAAGAAATGTGGCGAGAAAAGTGGGGGCGGAACTTACTTAACGTCCCACTTACCAACCTAGATTTGGGGCTCAATTGTGAGTCAAGGACTACCTGTAACAGGTGTGCTACGACACTAAATGTAACATGCCAGGTAAGATACATGGCAAAACCTGAAAGAGAACACAACTCTTCTTTCTGCTTCATCTTAGCAGGTGGCCTTGGCTTCCTCCAACGGTTTATATGGAACTTGAAATCATCCACCAATAGCACACAAGCTACGGGAATTCCTTGACTTAGGACCATTCGTTTAGTGGCTGTCTGAAGTTATCATGGGCTTGGAAAAAAGTGAGTTATGACACCAGTCTTTACATTTACAACTGTGACAGAATCTGCACGGTAACGTGATGGTGATTTGGGCTCGTGGCAAGGGGCATTTATTTTGGAGGGTTGCAGAGGCTCAGGATCATGGAACTGCCATCTACAACCTTCCCAGCCAGCTTTTTTAACAGATTAACAGAGTTGGAAGGGACCTTGTAGGTCATCTAATCCAACCGCGCCCCGCCCAAGCAGGAGACCCTACACCATTTCTGACAAATGGCAGTCCAGTCTCTTCTTGAAAGCTTCCAGTGATGAAGCTCCCTCAACTTCTGAAGGTAACTTATGTTCCATTGGTTGATTGTTCTCATTGTCAGAAAATTTCTCCTTATTTCCAGGTTGAATCTCTCCTTGATCAGTTTCCATCTATTATTATTTCTTACCTGGCCTTCAGGTGTCTTGGAAAATAGCTTGACTCCCTCCTCTCTGTGGCAGCCCCCCAAATATTGGAAGACTGCTATCCTGTCTCCCCTGGTCCTTCTCTTCACTAGACTAGCCATGCCCAGTTCCTGCAACTGTTCTTCATATGTTTTAGCCTCCAGTCCCCAAATTATCCTGGTTGCTCTTCTCAGTACTTTTTCTAAAGTCTCAACATCTTTTTTATAGTGTGGTGAACAAAATTGGATACAGTATTCTAGGTGTGGTCTTACTAAGGCTTTATATGGTGGTATTAGTACCTCACTTGATCTTGATTGTATTCCTCGGTTAATGCAATTTAGGATTGCATTGGCTTTGTTGGCTGCCGCTGCATACTGCTGCTTGCTTCTAACAAGAAAATTCAACGGGGGAAGCAGGATTTGATTAACAACCATGTGGTTCCATGGCAAAGGGGGTTTGTAAAACTGAGTGCAACTTGCTTTAACAAAAGGATCCGTTAGCGATGGAAATTCTCATCCCTATTGGGGTCATTAAGTCGAGGACTAACTGGATTTTAAAAGAGTTCATGTGAGAAACAGCTCCTTCCACTTTCTGGCATGCATTCTCTGAGCAAGATAGCGACATCGCTTATGCGCTGCATGTTCGCTATTCATGTTCTGCTAACCAATCAGCTAAAAGAGGCTCCTGTCAGCCTACCTTCCTTGGTGATAAAATTGGGGCCTTCCCTTTTGAGCAAGATGCTCAGCAGAATGATCTGGGTTGCCACGCAGCTGCAGTCCTGTGGAGAAATAATCATCGTTGTAAAAGGTTAGTAGAGACATGTGTGATTCTCCTAAGGTTTTACAGAACAAACTCTGCTATTTCTTGGAGCTATGGGCAAGACACTGCTGGGAGTCTTCTGTTTAAGAGCCGCGGTGGCGCAGTGGTTATAATGCAGTACTGCAGGCTACTTCTGCTGACTGCCGGCCGACTGCAATTTGGCAGTTTGAATCTCACTAGGCTCAAGGTTGACTCAGCCTTCCAGCCTTCCGAGGTGGGTAAAATGAGGACCCAGAAAGTTGGGGGCAAGAGGCTGACTCTGCAAATTGCTTAGAGAGGGCTGTAAAGGACTGTAAAGGGGTATATAAGTCTAAGGGCTATAGCTAAAAGGGGGATCTCTTCGGATACAGCAGCCCTCGCCAATCATTTCCTATCCTGATAAGTAATGTTAACTGATATGCATTTTTTAAAATTGTGGATGTCTTCCTTGACTTCTATAAGAAGTTCTCACTTTGGTCCCTGGGACCAAATACAGTAGTTGGAAAATTGGACAACATAGCAGTTTCTCGATATAAATGAAAAGGTCAGTTATCAAACCAGTGTTTCTCAACCTTAGCAGTTTTAAGAAACATGGACTTCAACTCCCACAATTCCCCAGCCAGCCATGCTGACTGGGAAATTCTGGGAGTTGAAATCCATATATCTGAAAGTTAGGGGTCCTTGGTACTTCCTGAGCTTCGTTGTTTTCTTGCAGACCTTTCATTACCCTAACTAGGTAACATCATCAGTGCTAGTAGTATGATGTTACTGTCAGAATATTCATTAACTGGCAGAGACTTGGTAACAAGGTCAGCCAGTGAATAGGTATGGCAACAGATCAGCCAATGGGAGCTGAATTGGAAACTGAAACTGGAAGGAGCTTGGGTGTGGCTCTGCAGCTCTGAGCTTGTCTGTGTGGACTTGTCTGTCTGCTGAACTGAAACTAAGAATTTACTTACAATCTCTCCTCTCCACCACGTTGGAAGAATCTGCTGTTGGTATTGTAAATTTACTTAATGAGTATTATGTATATAAAGAAGTTAATGAATCCCACTGAATCAGTTATCTGTATGTGCTTTCTGGATTTGATTTTCTGCAATGAACTATGGTAGTTACTACTACTACTACAATGATTATGATGTTACCTAGTTAGGGTAACGAAATGTCTGCAAAAAAACAAGCAAGCTCAGAGAGCACCAAGGACCCTTCATTTCAACCCTGAGCTACAAATATTCTCTTTTGGGGGGTATCTTAAAATTACCAAGGTTGAGAAACCTCAATCCAGACAATGAGATGGTTTTCACTGGAGTCTTTTTGAAGTGACTACATGTCTCACCCAGACCTACAATCATATTATATTCCCTCTACCTCCTCTCTGCCAACTTCTCTAACTTTCTCTATTCATCGACCAATGTTCTGCCATTATTATGTTCCCACTGGTTTGTTTTTAGAGCTGATCGGTTGCTTACAGGTTCTTTTTCTTCTTGACTTCCTCTGCAGCCTCCTATAAAACTCCAACTCTCCATGTTGGAATGCTGTGTTTTTTAACCCAAATCACAGGCAGATTTCCATGGGAAACAGAAGGCGTGATTATTGACGGATTACTGACTCGGCAGAGTGAAACCTGTTTCTGAAACTACTCTCCTTGGTGAAATATTTTTGACGGCTTGTAATATCTAGAGAATTCCAAATTATTGTCATCCTTGGTGCTTGTTGTGGCCTATTGGCCGCCAACCCCTCCAGCAGCCAAATCAGAGGAGGAGGAGGAGGAGGAGGAGGAGGAGGAGGCAGCATCAAGGCAACCTGAGAGCTCCAAGGGGGAAAGAGGGAATGGAGCTGGCAGAGAGAGAGAGACAGAGAGAGACAGAGGTAGAGCCTGGGTCATCCGTCAGCCCTCAGATGGAGAGTCAACAGCCCCCAGGTCTGGAAGTGGCTGACGAGGAAGAGGAGGAACAGCTGGGTCCAGTGCCTGACACACTGATGCACAGAAAGCAGAGGAGAGGAGAGCAGTGGAAATCTATGGGCCGG